CGCAGGTCCCAGCCGCCCCTGCAAACGCCCACTGTGACTCACCTGAGTGCCTGCGCCGCCGCACGGGAGGCCGCCGGAAGTCTAGCGCCCCCAGGTCCTCCCTCAGGTACTCGTAAAGCGGGTCGGAGTAGGAGCGTCGGTGCACTGAACGCTGGGCGCCGGATCTCCTCGAGGGGCGCTCCGAGGCAGTGCGGGGGGCGGCCTCGCTCCTCCTGCTGCCTCGCACTCGGTGTTCCTCCGCCCTGTCCGTCGCCCCGCCGTCGCGCCCCCGGGGACCATTGGAGCTCTCTCCGTGTAGAGGTCTGAGCTCCTTGGGCTCTCCTTGCCAGCCCGCCCTGGCGCTCGGGCTGATCGGCTGCTGCGAGGGGCGGCGCTGGCTGCGTCCGGCGGGGTCACTCGGGGTCCTAGTCGATGACCTCGAGCGCGGCTCACCGTGCTGCCGTCTGCTCTTCTCCTCGCCCGCGTGGTGGGAGCAGACCTCACTCCTCACTCCGCGTTGGGCGTGAGGCGAGGCGTGAGTCTTCGCGAGGCCATTCCTTGGCTCGTCCGTGGCGTGGTTTTCCCTCCTGCGATGCGAGTGATGGCTGCTTTTGGCGCGGAGATCCGAAACGTTCGCCGATCCGTGGTGAACGTTCCTATTATTCGGTTCCCTCGCCTGCAGATCCCTTGCGAGTCTGTTATTGACGAACTCTTGCAGGAGATGAGTGCAATTGCTCTGGTGATTTTGCGTATGCCTCGTCGGAGAGATTTGCACGCCTTTTGTACCATTGTAGAACTCGCTCGGTAACAACCCATGGTGAGGAGGAGGCGATTTCCTACGCGTCTCGGACTTTGTACTCAAGTGTTTGTACTCTACAGGCTTCATTTTCTGTTTTTTGCTGATGACCGGACTGAGATTTCTGGTCCAGTTCATGCCGTTGACGTAATCCCCGTGGGAAGGGAGGTAATCCCAGCGGCGCTCGAATTCAGGAAAGTTTCCGAGGAAGTGATGGGACCCGTTTTCTGTCACGCTCTCTCGGAATGCATGTTTTCTGTGCCCGGCCTCCGCATGGTACACGCTCATGGGGAACTGCGACGAATGCAGCTCCTTGAGAGAATAGACGGGCGAGGGAAAAATTCTGTGACTTTTCGACGGCAGGGAGGACGTGAAAGCCTTCCCGCGCGAAAAAGGGGACTTCGCCACCCGCTTGAGTGCGTCGGGGCCTTTCTTGTCGGCGGGGTGTCGGAGGGAGCGGCTGTTTTGTCGGTTGAAACCATTCTTGCCGATGATGGATCTGACGAAGAGGTTCCTCGGGCTGCGAGTGTGCGAGTTGTAGGAGGAGTCGGCCTCCCCGTCGCTGCTCACGACCGCCAAGTCGTCGCTGTCGTCGAGGGAGCGCGACAGGGGCGGGCGCTTGAAGGACGGCGCCCCTGGGAAGCCTGACCTCGAACTGCTGCCATTCAAGGGGCGTCTGAGTTCCGCCCCGATGTCCTTCAGCTCGTCCTTGAGGTCGTACAGCTCCCACGGACTGATCTGGTCCCTCTCGTCCAGCTCTTCCTCCTCGTCGTCCAGTCGGTACGACCTGGAGAAGGAGGACAGGAGGTCGTTCGGGTCGTCCCTGTGGTTGTACGACGCGGTGTAGGATACCTGATCCTTCAAGCCGTTCCACAGACGGAGCAGCTCCAGCGGACGCTCCCATCCTGCCACGACGCGCACTGGGAGGGAAATCCTGGATTAGTAAGGGTACACATGGAAAAAACACGGATTACACGCGCACATGCACACTCACGCACTCACAGACACACATGTGTGCGTATGCATATATATATACATATATATATATATATATATATATATATTATATATATATATATATATATACATAAATATATATATATATATAATATATATATATATATGTATATATATATATGTATATATATATACATATATATATATACATATATATATATATATATATATACATATATGTATATATATATATATATATATATACATATATGATATATATATATATATACATATAAATATATATATATATAATATACATATATAATATATATATATATATATATATATATATATATATATATATATACATATATATATATATATATATATATATATATATATATATATATATATATATATATATATATATATGTATATGTATATATGATATAATATAATGCATACATATCATATCAAAGAACAAAAGAAAGACAAATAACATCACGATACAAGCTAATAAATCACCAGATAGACCAAGGTCAAAAATAAAGCAGAGCACGACATAAACAACATGGGCAAAGCAAGCCAAGCCAGAGCGCCATAAAACCCGGGGTTAAACAGGCTACCTCCGAGGGGCGAGGTCTCCACCAGGAGCGGCAAGGGGTCTCCCGTATCTCTGACGCAGGCGGCGACATCCCTAAAAGTGGTGATGGGCGTGAGGGGCACCCAAGCCACGCCCCCATCCTCCTTGGACACGCCCAGGATCTCCTGAAAACAATGAAGGGTGCAATTAAGACGAAACGAAAAACAATGAATGGAAAAAAAACTGCGTGCAACCACGTGACTGGGACAGGAAATGACGGGTCGAAAAGGTGATCTGGGAAACAGCTGAGGAGAGCGGAGATGGTGGATCGGGACACGGGAGGAAATGCATGGCGCAAGGGACACGTGACTCACTCCATACACACACACACACACACACACACACACACACACACACACACACACACACACACACACACACATATATATATATATATATATATATATATATATATATATATATATATATATATATATATATATATATAATATATATATATATATATATATATATATATATAATATATATAATATATATATACATATATATATACATATATATATAATATATATATATATTATATATATATATATATATATATATATATATATATATAATATATATCTATCTATCTATCTATCTATCTATCTATCTATCTATCTATATATATATATACATATATATATATATATATATATATATATATATATATATATTTATATACATATATATATATATATATATATATATATATATATATATATATATATATAATATATTGTGTGTGTGTGTGTGTGGTGTGTGTGTGTGTGTGTGTGTGTGTTGTGTGTGTGTGTACTGAATATTGACAGGTAGTATATGCAAGTACGCATCTAAGTACGCAATTGTGCCTCGGCGACGCGAGCACACACGCCCACGCGCGCCCCCTCCCCCGCCCACAAGGCCAGCGAGAACAGCAAAAGCAGCAGCGACGGAGGAGCCGCGATCGGGCAGGTGTACGATGCAGCTGCTTCTGACGGGCCAGACAAAGGCCTGTCGTCGTCAGCTGATCAGAATGCACCCACACAGCGCCGTAAAGCTAGGAGGCCATCATAAGAACATTTAGGAAGCCAGCAGGCTGTCAGCTGACTCGGTGAACAGCTGGTGTGAGGAGTGGAGTGGGTATTGCACCAGCTGACGCGTGGAAGTGTTTATGCAAGCACGCTTCGGTATGAATTTTCTTTGTGATAAGTTTCTTTGTTCTTTTCGTTTTTTTCGGTATAATGTTTGCAGTTTTTGTCGGACTTTGCTGTACAGAGCAAAAGAGTAGGGCCAGTTTTCGCTATCGCCAGACGCTGTATCTCAATAGAACTAGTTTCCTTCAAGCACAAGCAAACTAAACAAAAAGCTGTCTGTTTCCTCAGCTGTGCCTACCCAGCCCTGACTGTCTGCCTAGTCACCACCTGCAGGAGAAGGTGCAGTCTCGAAAACCACCTGGAAATTATTAGCGTCCACGAAATAAACACCAACTGCATGAAAATACACCAGCCACCATATATGTAAAGCCACCTGTATGGGATATTTTCACCATCTGAAATTACTTTAACCACCGTTTTATTTCTTTACAAAAGCAGAAATAAAAGAAAGCGGCGATTCCAAAATACGGAATTTAATATTTTCTTCAGTTGGAAATAAAACAGACCTATTCTAAAAATATATTCCAACTACCTAAAAACACTCTAACCAACAGTTAAAACTTTTTACAGAATCACAAACAGAAAAAAAATCGCCATCTGGAAGCACATCATCTATCACTTTCTTTTATTCTCTTTTCTTCCTTTTACAGAAAACAAAAGAGAGCAAATACCAGAACGATCTCAAGGTATCTTTCCACCACACGAAAACACATCAACTTCCTTTTCCTTTTATCTCTTCTCACAAAAAAGGAGATAGAAGAACTCGACTATTTCCAAGTAACAGAACCACAAGGAATATTTCCACCGTCTGAAAACAAACAAACAGATATTTAATAATCCCTTTTCCAAAATCAGAATGAGATGAGACCAAAGTCCTTGAGCCAGCTGTAAAGTATATTAACACCATCTGGAAGCACATATACCAGAAAAGAAAAGAAAAAGAAAGAAAGAAAGAAAAGGAAAATGAAAAGGAAGGAAATAAGAAATAAAAATAACAATAAGCAAAATAAAAAAAAAGAAAAAAAGAAAAGAGAATGAAAAGGAAAAGGAAGAAGAAAAAAATACAACAAGAAATAGAAAAAAAACGAAAACGGAAAAGAAACACGAAAAGACAAAAACACCCCCCCAAAAAAAAAAAAAAAAAAAACGAAAAGAAAACGGCAGAATGAAAGACGCCCTTACGCATCTCCACAGCGCATTCTCTCTCTCTCTCTCTCTCTCTCTCTCTCTCTCTCTCTCTCTCTCTCTCTCTCTCTCTCTCTCTCTCTCTCTCTCTCTCTTCTCTTTCTCTCTCTCTCTCTCTCTTTCTCTCTCTCTCTCTCTCTCTCTCTCTCTCTCTCTCTCTCTCTCTCTCCTCTCTCTCTCTCTCTCTCTCTCTCTATATATATATATATATATATATATATATATATATATATATATATATATCCCCTCCCTCTTTCTCTCTCTCTCTCACTCTCCCTCTCTCTCTCTCTCTATCTATCTCTCT